CGGTACCCGCAGGGCAGGGTCGGCCCCGTGCTCCAGGAGGCAGCGCACGGCGCCCAGGCAGAGGTTGGAGGCTGCGATGTGCAGCGCGGTGCCGTGGCTGAAGTCGCTGCAGGTGGAGTGCAGCACTGCGGGGAGGGGACACTGAGGCACAGCCCCCCGACATCCACGGGGGGCCTGACCCACTGCGGGGACACCCTGTCCTGCCCCTGGGGACCCCCGGGTCCTGCCCTCCCAGGGACCACACTGTCGCTCCCCTCCAGGGGACCCCAAAGTCCTGCCCCCAGGGGACCCCAGTATCTGCACCCCCAGGGAACTCAACGTGCAGCCCCTGGGACCCCAATATCCTTCCTTCTGGGAACCCCAATGTCCTTCCCTCCCAGGGACCCCACTGTCACTCCCCTCCAGGGGACCCCAATGTCCCTCCCCACCCAGGGAACCCCAGTGTCCTGTTCCCCCCAGGGACCCCAAAGTCCTGCCCCTGGGGACCCCTGTGTCCTCCTCCCCAGGAGACCCCCATGTCCTACACCTAAGGGACCCCTGGTGGCCTTCAACTGGGGACCCCAATGTCCCTCCACCCCAGGGACCCCAAAGTCCTGTCCCCGGGGAACTCAACGTGCAGCCCCTGAGACCCCAATATCCTTCCCTCTGGGGACCCCAATGTCCTCCCCCCTGGGGACCCCCGTGTCCTGCACCCAAGGGACCCCTGGTGGCCTTCAACTGGGGACCCCCGTGTCCTGCTCCAGGGACCCCAAAGTCCTGCCCCCCCAGGGAACCCCAGGATCCTGTGCCCCCGGGGAACTCAACGTGCAGCCCCTGGGACCCCAATATCCTTCCTTTTGGGGACCCCAGTGTCCTCCCCCCAGGAGACCCCCGTGTCCTGCCCCTGGGGACCCCAGTGTCCTTCCCTCCCAGGGACCCCAGTGTCCTGTTCTCCCCAGGGACCCCAAAGTCCTGCCCCCAAGGAACCCCAGTATCTGCACCCCTGGGGAACTCAACGTGCAGCCCCTGGGACCCCAATGTCCTGCCCCTGGGGACCCCCGTGTCCTGTTTCCCAGGGACCCCAGTGTCCTCCCTCCAGGGGACCCCAATGTCCTTCCCCGCCCAGGGACCCCAAAGTCCTGCCCCCAGGGGACCCCAGTATCTGCGCCCCTGGGGAACTCAACGTGCAGCCCCTGGGACCCCAATATCCTTCCTTCTGGGAACCCCAATGTCCTTCCCTCCCAGGGACCCCACTGTCACTCCCCTCCAGGGGACCCCAATGTCCCTCCCCACCCAGGGAACCCCAGTGTCCTGTTCCCCCCAGGGACCCCAAAGTCCTGCCCCTGGGGACCCCTGTGTCCTCCTCCCCAGGAGACCCCCATGTCCTACACCTAAGGGACCCCTGGTGGCCTTCAACTGGGGACCCCAATGTCCCTCCACCCCAGGGACCCCAAAGTCCTGTCCCCGGGGAACTCAACGTGCAGCCCCTGAGACCCCAATATCCTTCCCTCTGGGGACCCCAATGTCCTCCCCCCTGGGGACCCCCGTGTCCTGCACCCAAGGGACCCCTGGTGGCCTTCAACTGGGGACCCCCGTGTCCTGCTCCAGGGACCCCAAAGTCCTGCCCCCCCAGGGAACCCCAGGATCCTGTGCCCCCGGGGAACTCAACGTGCAGCCCCTGGGACCCCAATATCCTTCCTTTTGGGGACCCCAGTGTCCTCCCCCCAGGAGACCCCCGTGTCCTGCCCCTGGGGACCCCAGTGTCCTTCCCTCCCAGGGACCCCAGTGTCCTGTTCTCCCCAGGGACCCCAAAGTCCTGCCCCCAAGGAACCCCAGTATCTGCACCCCTGGGGAACTCAACGTGCAGCCCCTGGGACCCCAATGTCCTGCCCCTGGGGACCCCCGTGTCCTGTTTCCCAGGGACCCCAGTGTCCTCCCTCCAGGGGACCCCAATGTCCTTCCCCGCCCAGGGACCCCAAAGTCCTGCCCCCAGGGGACCCCAGTATCTGCGCCCCTGGGGAACTCAACGTGCAGCCCCTGGGACCCCAATATCCTTCCCTCTGGGGACCCCAGTGTCCTGTTCCCTGGGGGACCCCAGTGTCCTCCCCCCAGGAGACCCCTGTGTCCTGCTCCAGGGACCCCAATGTCCCTCCACCCCAGGGATCCCAAAGTCCTGCCCCCAGGGGACCCCAGTATCTGCATCCCCAGGGACCTCAACGTGCAGCCCCTGGGACCCCAATATCCTGCCCCTGGGGACCCCAGTGTCTTACGCCTAAGGGACCTCTGGTGGCCTTCAACTGGGGACCCAATGTTCCTCCACCCCAGGGACCCCAATATCCTTCCCCCAGGAGACCCCCGTGTCCTCCCCCCTGGTGACCCCCGTGTCCTCCCCCCTGGCCCCCCCGTGTCCCGCGTGGGGTGCCCCTCACCTCGGGGTGCCGCCGCCCTCAGGAGGGTGCGGATGAGCTCGGGGACGTCGAAGTAGGCGGCGTAATGGAGGGCGTTCATGTGGGTCCAGCGGCTGCGCAGGGTCACGTCCCCCCCCAGCGCCAGCAGCCGCGTGGACAGACGCACGGCCGCCGCGGGGTCCCCTGCACGGACACGGGGGGGACGGGATGGCACCCCCCTCGGGGACACCGGGGGGGCACCGGGACTGGGGACGGGGGGACACGGGGACACTGGGGATGTGGGGACAGCGGGGACAGTGGGGACGTGGGGAGTG